CCACGTTGTCCAACATTTAGGTAAATAAACGAATGAATGAATGAATGACAGCAAGCTCCGGGCTCATTCACAAACACTCAAACTGTGGTTGGCTAACTCTACTGCAATGCCAACCCCTTCTCCTTTGCCGTCCCCCACGACAGAGGCTGGAAAGGTGAAAGGTGGTCACATGGCCAAATTCTGCCAATAAGATGTAAAGGGAAGTCTTGAGGAGACCTCCTTGGAAATCTTTTGCTTTTCTGGTAAAGGGAGCAAATGAAACAGATGCCTCGACTTCCTCCTTCCTCCTTCCTCCTGCCTTGACTAGCAGATATAATGCCTTGAGCTACAGCCACTGTCTTGAAACCATGAGGTGACTGACAAGAGGACCACAGGTAAACAGGCTGGGAATAGTGGAGACAGCGCCTGGGCTCTTAATGGCGTCAGCAAGCAACCACAGGGATGCAGAAGCCACCTACTTTCGGGCACTTGTTATATAAGAAATACAAATTCTGAATTGTTTCAGTCACTATAAGTTGGTTTCCTGTGACTCCTCCCTGAGAGCATTCCTGACTGATACACCCACTCCCGTGAAAGTAACGTGAGCGGCTCTGGAGGTCCTGGCAACTGACAAACTGACTTCTACCGCCACACTCACACATATTCTGACATGAAAAGTGGCACACTACACACACTGCTCACACCTTTATTCATTTTATTTAGCCACATATCCTGGGGGTGTCTCCGCATGTACATCCACCTGTTCAGAAAGGGCCCTGGTCTGAGGCGGGGAGAGCCAGGGTCGGGGGTGTGAGGTCCCAGCAGTGGACATGTGACAGCCCAGACACACACTCTCACACAGGGGCCGGTCCCACCTCCCGAGAAGGCACAAATGTGCGGATCAAAATGCATCGGACAAAAAGCACGAAAATAATTAGATCTACTCTCACCTTATTTGATACGATATAAAACAATGATTTTCCACCTTGTCTAGTCAAAACATCTTTGGCCTGGAAGAAAGGGCGCCTCGGGAGGGCTGGGGGAGGGAAGGGGAGGATCGTGCACAGCAGTGGAAAAAAGCAGGGACCTCGGACTGGCTGCCTGTGTGACCTTGAGCGAGTCCCTTCACCTCTCTCAGCCTCAGTTTCCTCATCTGTAAAATGTAGATTCTAACAGTTCGTATCCCACGAGGATGGAAGGAAGATCATTAACGCTCACTGAGGGCTCCCTACGTACCAAGCACTTTCCTAAGCACCAGAGACGCAGTAGTGAGAGCAAGTCACGGTGTTGGTAGTCATGGAGCTTACGTTTCAGTGGAGGAACACAGAAATGAATTGCAAACAATTAAAAATTAAAGTAAAAATCACATAATGATCAATGTCATACAGAAAACCAAAACAGGGTAATGAGACAGTAAAGTGAGGTGTGTGGAGGGTGTCTCTACTTTAGATGAGGTGGCTAGGGAAAGCTTTTCTGACGATTTGACATTTTTCCCGGGATTGAATAATGAGAATGCAAAAATCTGAGGGAGAGTGATCAGGTAGCGGGATGAGCCGCAGTGGTAAAGGCCCCGTGCACCTGAAGCCTGAGGATGGTACTGGGAGGAGGAGATGAGGGCAGGACCAGAAGTAAAAAGACACATCAAGCATTCTAGGCCTTGGTGATGGGTTTGGATTTTTAAGTGCAATAGGAAGTCAGTGGTATGTTTTAATCAGGAGAGAAATAGAATTTGATTTCTCTTTATTCTTATTGCAAAAGAAATATGTATGTTACATAGAATATTAAACTCTAATTAGAAGAAATAAAGAAAACCAAGGCACTTATTCTCACCACCCAGAAATTACTATCATGAAACACATTAGTTCATATCCTTCCAGATTTTCATCTTATCTAATATCTAGGCCATATTCCAATTTCCTCAGATGTCCTCCAAATCCCCGCTACAGGTGGTTTGTGCAAAGCAAGATCTGATAGAGGATCACAGCTGGCATCTGGTCATTATGTCCATTAAGGTTCTTTTAATCTAGCCCAGACCCCTTCCATTATTTTTATCGGGACATTGACTTGTTGAAGAGATCA